TATAAAAATTGCAAAAGAATGCAATGTGATTCTATCTGAAGTAAAACTCATATTATATTAATGTACATGCCATGTCCACTTCGAGTCTGATTTATTAATTGTTTTTCCACTTAGACGGCTCCACAAGTACAAAGTCACCAGTGAGCCAATTACAAGTACAACCTATTTCACCTGTTAACCCTTTTCCTTGAATTTTGGAAATGGTATATTGCTTTTAGTAATATCAATAACACTATAATAATTGTTCAGTCTAAAATCAAAAGAACAGCTTCAATATTCATAGAATTAGTGAAAAAAAAACAAATTCCCACAAACTCATGGAAAGGTGAAATCAGGTAAGGTCACAAGGCCTACAAGCTGACTCTTTTGAAGCTAATTACTTGCAGAACAAGTGCAGATACATTTCACAAAATAATAATACAGTGAACATAACATTTTCTAGGCGACAGTGGCTTAAAGGATAAATATGCCTGTCATTCACTCCCTCACTCACTCCCTCATTCACTCACTCACTCACTCAGTCACACACTCACATCCAAACCTTTTCAATACATAACACTAAAATTATCTTTCACAATGTACATTATTTGCAAACAAAAGGAATCACATCTAGGGAATGACAAAGAACTCACCCAATTGCGTTATTGGTGTGTGAAGGCAGAGCTGAAAGCAGGTCATGAGGCGTGTGAGAGGAAGTGGAAAGAGAGCCCTGACCGCGTAGACGCTTCACCACCGAGGACATGCTATCCTGGAGAGACAAAACCATAATGCTGTTGATTCATGAATGAGATATCGGTTATATTTTCAAAACTGTACCTGGTTCATCCAAAGTTGACGGTTTATATAATGTACAATTTCTTTCACACTTAAAAGTGAAAAATGAGAGTATACTGTGAGAAAAATAAGGACAGAATAACCTCAAATACATACAGACATGATTCATAATTCTTAAGCTCATCTTCCAAAAACTATACAGACCATAAAATGATATACGCAAAATCCCAGATATCAGGTTCCTAACCTTCTTTGGGGGTGGGGTTTGGTAATGTGTCAGGTGCCTCAGCTGCTTCACCAACCTCTCCCACTCAGTGTTGCTGCATCTAAGTAACTCATTGAGAACAAGCAATGAGCCATGGATGCGATCATCACGTGTCAGACTCCTGTCCTTGTTGTTGGCTTGATCATCAAAGCCTGCCCACACTTCAGTGAGACACTGCTTATACCTAGTAACGATATAACCCATTAATACAGAGGAGTAAAAGTAACAGAATTGACCACAATCATTCTATAGAACAGTATGATGTGGTATTTCACTTTCATTAATCACCTAAAAGGTACCATTTTCTTACCACATGGTCTGTTGCATTTCCTTTGTCTCTCTCTGGGCTGTGATTGCTAGTGCCACCCGAAGAGCTGCCACTGCTCCTTCTCGAATCTGGGGCTTTGGGTCACGAACTGCATTGAATATCACATCCAGAAACTGCTGGACTTGTTGGAAGAAATATGTTGGGACAGACAGTGCCAGTTCTCTTAGCACAAGCACCTGTTGAAAATTTGGGGTATGAAGACAACTCATTCAAATTCATTTCTACCCTTTAGAAATAATCATAGTCATAACAGCAACAGTGCTCAAAGACATTTTGACAATTCCTATGAAATAACTCATCTGTGTTACTGATTTTTCAACAATAGGTAAAATTCAGTGTTATCACTCTTTAAAGCAAATGTACAAAAAAAAGACTTACTGCAGCATGTCTCCTTCCCTCATTGCGATCACCCTGTAGCCACTCAAATGACCTCTTTACTAGATCTTCCACATACTCTGCTGTGAATGTCCCAGAGGCCAGGGCAAGGCGGCCAACCGCCTTGGCTGTAAGCTCCGTCACACCAGTGTCTGGGCTGTTATGGTTAATTGAAAAAAAAGTGAAGCTTCTGTTTTATCTAGTGTACCTATACACAATTAAATTTCTTACTTCTAAGAAAGGTAAACAAGGTGTTTTAGTAATCAGAAGAAAGTGATAAACTGAGCTGTTTGCTATTAACATATGACTTTTCAAATAGTCAACAACCTGCTTGCTACAATGTATGAGGATTGTGAATACAATAATGAATGTAAACATAAAAGCAGTTCTGAAAATAATTTTCCTAGCTGACTGTGAGATTTCATGTATGATAGTTGGGTAAAAAAAAAAAAAGACAATATCTTCAAAATAAATATTTGTTATTCATCATTACCCCTTTTCTTTATTCTTTAGCTTTCTTATAAAATCATTTTCATGAGATAACCATATTGAAAACAAATAGTGAAATATCAAGTGAAAGGAAATACTAAAAGCAATCAGTAGAGATACCTGTTAACGAGGTTCTTGAGGTAGTTTGCAAATCGACTGATACGCACTCCTGTCTGACCTACATCAACATCCACCAAACTCACTGAAAAATAAGTATATCAATAGTAAGGACATGGAACTATGCTGAAATGTACTTATTTATCTTCTAATAATTGAAATGCACCCATGAAGTCTTTCATTCTACTCTGATGTAAAAATATCAAATTTATCAAATGTGATCCCTCCTACAGTACAAAAAATCCATTCAATAAATGTTAGACTCCCTTGCAAAATTTAACTCTCTATTACAGATATGAACGTGATCCCTCCTACAGTACAAAAAATCCATTCAATAAATATTAGACTCCCTTGCAAAATATAACTCTCTATTACAGATAAAAAAACAACAGCTGGCTACTTACTAATAAAAATATTAATACCCAGACCAAAGTCCTTAATCAGTCTTGGTTATCTCTGACAACTGTCCTAAAACAATTTTTTTTTTTTATTATAGACCTTTATGCAAGCTTGTACTTACTAATAGCATAGATGCCTCCCTTTTTCTCATTGATGTCATTGGAGGACACCATCTCAAAAATGTGATGGTTGAATTCATCTAGGAATGTCAGCAACTCATCCAGAGACACCTAGAATCATGAATCAAAAGAATTATATCAATTATCACAACTTCAAAAAAGGCATATGTTCTCAAGAGTAGTTCTTAACTTTAGTTCTATGGAATCCAAGAGTATTTATTGGTGGAGGGCTTCCAAAACACCCTGCATAAACAAGAAAATCTTTAATATTCTATTTCATTTAATGGACAATTATTTTTACAATTTTTATTTTTGATGATTTTGTATATGCTTGCTAAACATCCTCTTTATTTTTTCTTGAATTAAAACTGCTTCAGCAAGTGTTTAGAAGACCTCTGCAGTAGCTTTCAAAATAGAACCTTTTTCTTATATGTTCTTGGCAATGTTCTCTTCAAATCCCCTGAAAACTTTCTGCAAGCTGCAATGGTTGGTATTTAATCATAAGTCCAAAATGTTTGGTACAAACTGTCAAGCAACTGATGCAGCTTCCCTACCTTATGTTCAAGCTAAATCCATCAACCTCCACCACATAAACTTTAGTAAGAATGAGCTACAACTCATTCCTTAATGATAAATCACTTGGGAAATCTGCATGTTCTATCTTAAAGCCAGTAAAGGATGCACAATGTATTCAAGGCATTTTCCAAAAATAAATGAAATCTTGCTTCCATGGTTTCACATTAACTCCCATGAGAAGTTAAGATGCTGGTTTCCTTCAAAAGATTTTGAAACTGGCCGAGAGAAACTGCTACCCCCAAGTAGATGCCTTTGCAAAGCTCATTCTAATAGAAGATTTAAAACCCACTTGCTCAGAAACCTTCCAACTCAACCTAAACCATAATTCCACACTCATTTAAAAGCTCTATAAAATTAAAATTGTGGAAGCAACCAATAAATTCCATGACCCTGTTTACAAACAGTTAGAAGGACTCACCTCCCTCAACTCAGTGGTGACATAACGCTGGAGGTCACAAGCCGCCTTCACCCTGGTCTCCTCGTTGCGGGACTTAAGCCCCGCAACGAACTGGGTCATCTTCACGTTACTCATCTTGGCTGTCAGTCACTCACATTCCTCTCACTGTAACTGTATTCAATGATATCAATAATTCAATGTTGAAATTACACATCATTCTGACCTGTATATGAAATTTACAACAAACTATAAAGCTATGACTAGGGAGCTTGAAATCAGCATTAACTTTAATTGATTGCATTTCCTAAAAGCAAGTTCTGAGGGTACAATATTATTCAGGATAATATCAAACACAACAGTTATCAAACATTTTTGTTCTCATTTAAAAGGTAATATACTTTATTCTCACCTTCACCTTCATAGTCTCATATTGTATGGGTAATCACAAAACACGTAGATCTAATTTCAATTAACTCTGATCAAGAAAAGTACCTCTAATAATGTACAAAACTTACATATTACAGTTACAGGAAAAAACAGGTTACTGAACCCTAAGTGAGAAGTTAATCCAAAGATACAAAAAACATTGAAATTTCAACAATATAAACTTGAGAATTGAGTGTTCAACAAATACATTACGATGAAGGACAAACCAATATGTTGAAAAGACCAAAGCACGATGAAATCAGCAACGATACAGTATGAAATAGTACTATAAAACCCATTCATAAAGTTGCACTATGAGCCTTTGATCTCGTTATCTGTCCATTGTCATTAGTGAAAACTCCTCTCTTAGTCACGTCACTTTCCCAACACATCTAAATCACGTAAATCAATAAAACGACATAATTAATAATAACCGAGACAGGTGATAAATACGCGAAAAGGGGCGCAGGACATCCACCCAACTGCGCAGGGACGACCAACCCCAAATAGGTCATAACGAAATACTAAATCTTCTCATTTCCCCTTAAATTCTCCATAATACCTCGCGACATCCACCCTCCCGCTTCACCAGTCCCTTCCCGAACGCACGCGAAGCACACTCACCTGCTCATCCTCGCGTCCCACGGCAGAAAACACAAGAAAATAAAAGCAACTGTGCCGTGTGCCTCTCCCTGTTGGGGTCCTTGCCGATGCGTTCGTGTAGCGCCGAACCGG